TTCGCGGAAATAGTAGGTAAACGGTTTGTTTGTATGAATGTATCCGACACGCGTCCAGGACATGTTTTTTTTTTGCTTAGATGGATGGACGAGCTGACCGCCCACCTGATGTTAAGTAGTCACTAGAGCCCATACACATCTACAACGTAAACGCGCCAACCACCTTGAGATATACGTTCTAAGATCTCAGTATAGTTACAACGGCTGCCCCACCCTTCAAACCGAAACGCATTACTGCTTCAATGCAGAAATAGGCGGGGTGGTGGTATCTACCCGTGTTGACTCACAAGAGGTCCTACCACCAGTAACCATGAGCGAATTTAACCACTTAATTTTCAGACAGATCACAAACTAACCGTCTTCAATTGCAGTAATAGATTATTTCAATTGTCATTATACAGACGAAAGCTTAATAACATGTACTTTCCCATTCTTAGCAAACCTTAATAGGCGATAGAGTTCGTCACGCGTTGTCTAAACTAATATCACGTGTTGCATAAATGAGATGATGTTTAAATGCGTACGTACTAGGTATATTAATTTTGAATATTTTACAGCCATGGGCATCGTTCCGTCACCGATGGACTGCTATTTTGTGAACAGGAGCTTAAAGACGTTAGCATTAAGAATGGAGCATCACAAGAAGTCGTCATTGATCATTGCCAATTGGTTGGAGAAACATCCGAAAATCGTCGAAGTGCTTCACCCAGGTGCGGTACGCGTACGCGTGTTATCTGTAAATAGATTGTGATGTAAATATCTATGATTAGAACAACGCAAACTTGTGTACTTTTGCTGCCAATATTATAATTCGTCTAATAATAAATTATTTATTCATCAACTTCAAAACTTCACGTAAATAACATCAGAAAATTATATTCTCGAGTTAAGAAATAGAATGATGATGAGACCAATGGCCAACTCATTAGCATCCCGCGTCGTTCTAGGTATAGTAACAGGATAAATAACATAAATTTGTCGTATCATTAAATATTACAAATTCACAGCGGTATTTCCAAGTAAATTAAAGAATGAGTGTGATCGAGTAAAAATGTTGATTCATTTCTTTCAGGGCTGCCAACTCACGCGCAGCACGAGATAGCTAAAAAACAGATGACGGGTCACTCGGGTGTGTTCAGCTTCAAACATTCCGGAGGTCTCAAGGAATCTAGAAAATTCCTGAGCTCATTGAAAGTGTTCACGCTGGCCGAGAGCTTGGGGGGCTATGAAAGTCTCGCTGAGCTACCGTAAGTTCAGAAACTAATTCACGATTCAATAACGCCTTTATTTTTTCTATATATTTTAAGACGATTTATCAATACGTTTTTATTAACTTGGTTTTATTATTAATAATTTATTAACTGAATTTTTGAACGCCATTTTCATCGACTTCAAAGCTTTCGATTAATTTAGAAGTTGGCGCACCCATCAAGGACCGTTAACAAAACAATAATTTTATAACTTCGCTCTAATAATCTCCTATAATCCTGACCAGTATCTACATGATAAAGAGAAATATCAAATTAATTATTAGCTTGTTTTGCTACTTATGCGTGTTTTGTTTTGGTTTATAAGCAACGCATATTATTTCTTGCATCAGTTCTATTGAAAATTGTTTGGATAAGTACTGTGAAAATGTGTCTCTGTTTATTTATGAGTGAACATTTATAATCGCGACACTATGATAAGACAATTGTGGTCGTATTTAACTGTTATTCCTTATGGGCGTTGACAATATTTAAGGCACAGCCAAGCCTTTACCTTCCGCTAAGGACTATAGAGCGTTTGAGGAAGAACATGTCATAAAGATAAATAAACATTATTTAAAAAAAAAAACTTGTCAATATATGCGTATACAGTTTGTACGGGTCGGAGTATGGTAGAAGACTAATGGACTTTTAGTGACTGCCAGTTATTTAATGAAGGGAAATTAGCATTTAAGGGCCCGTTTGGTTTGGTTGAAAACAGACCTGTTTTAAAACAAGTTACTAAGTAACTAACTAGTTAATGAAGGAAAATTAAAATAGGTATATTGGTGGTAGGACTTCTTGTGAGTCTGCACGGGTAATTACTGCCTATTTTGGCCGTGAAGCGGTAATGCATTACGGTTTGAAGTCTGAGGCAGTCGTTGTAACTATACTGAGACCTTAGAACTCATATCTCAAGGTGGGTGGCGGCATTTATGTTGTAGATGTCTATGGGCTCCGGTAACCACTTATAACTAGTTAGGCCGTATGCTCGTCCGCCTATAGAAAAGCAATAAAAAGCAATGTCCAACAGAGGGCTTCTAAAATGTTACTTTTAGTTTATACGAAGTATTTATATACTCTCCACTGCACCTTCGAGGGGTTCTCATATCACAATGCGGTATTAGAGCCGTTATGTTCTATCACATCAGTCTACCATAATGGGAATTCCGTGTTCTGTGTATCTGAGCTTACGAATATTGGCATATATGCGTTAAGGCAACGGATATCTACTACCATCCATTTTATAGAAGTCGTCGTGGCCTAAGGGATAATACGTCCGTTGCATTCGTGTTGAGCGATGCACCGGTGTTCGAATCACAGGCGGGTACCAATTAATTTTTTTAATGAAATACGTACTCAACAAATGTTCACGATTGACTTCCACAGTGAAGGATTAACATCGTGTAATAAAAATGAAACCCGCAAAATTATAACTCGCGTAATTACTGGTGGTAGAACCTCTTGTGATGTGAGTCCGCGCGGGTAGGTACCACCGCCCCGCCTATTTCTGCCGTGAAGCAGTAATGCGTTTCGGTTTGAAAGGTGGGCAACCGTTGTAACTACACTGAGACCTTAGAACTTATATTTCGAGATGGGTGGCGCATTTACGTCGTAGATGTCTATGGGCTCCAGTAACCACTTCACATTAGGTGGGCTGTGAGCTCGTCCACCCATCTAAGCAATAAAAAAAACCTTAACACATATTTACCACGTTATTTTTGCATTTGCATAAAAAATACAATTCAGAAGTACCGACACGAAATGTTTAAAATTTCTCGTTATTGGGAACAGATCTGTGATGACACACGCATCAGTTCCGGCGCTGCAGAGGGAGGAACTCGGCATCACCGATTCGCTGGTAAGACTTTCCGTCGGTCTCGAAGATACCGAGGATCTTATCGAAGATTTAGATCAAGCTTTTAAAGCTGCATTTTAATTTGACAACCCTGGCCGGTACACGGGTGCGGTAGTATAAATTTTGTTATTAAAATAAGCCATATGTTTTATATGAATTATAACTATTTATGTACTTTTATACGTGACGGATAATAGGGTAATGACGTTCCTGTTTTGATTATAGATAAATAAAACATTGAAATTAGAGTCTAATGTGTAATTAATTAAATTTTAAATACAAAGGTTCAAAACGATTGTTAATAAAACAAGGTAGGGATGTGCCTTGTCTATTATTGAATTTGATAACGCTACTAGCTAATTAGTAAAACAAAAGCAATTGGGCAATTAAGCACACGTTTCTTAAAATGATTGTAGTACTTACCGTCATTGGGTGATAATCACGTTCAATATAATACAATAAATAAACAGCTGCATTTCATAAACAAAAATTTGCAGGGTTTTTTCTAGTAAATTCCCTACCTTGGTTTCTGACGTTCGTAATTAAACTATTATGATTCCATTTACACGTGTTCCTGCCGAGATATGTCCGGAAAGGAATAATATAGGCTGTTATTTAATTTGTAAGGTACTAATTGATAATAGCAATATGCCTATTTCATACATTCTATAGACAAAGATAGTTCAATATTTGTTTTTATTGATAAAGTATCTGCTTAAAAATATTTATTTTATATAAATATAATTTCGTTTTTATATATGTTACAATAATAAGAATTAAGAATTCGAAATAAATGATTGTGATCTGAAATTTGTCGTTTTTATTTATGTTTAAGGAACGAAATATAATGCTATTTTCAGTATTTATGTGGCTATCAACGTTTAGTTAAGTTAAGTTTATGTAACTACCTATTTATCGAGATACGAGAACTTGGTCCCCGACCGCGAGTCTGCGACTGCTTTTCTATCATCCAATTTTAGTAGCTGTAAATTAAACAAATGTGTTTTCCGGACATCACAATGTGAATGCCGCCTACATGGGACAAGGTGGGTAGAAGAATTCACATAGTTTATGGGCCCCGGTAACCACTTAACACCGGGTGGGCCTTGAGCTGATTCGTTCCGTGTAAGCATTAATAAAAAAAATCAAATGCGTTTTATTTTTTCAAATTACCGTAAGATTTTTTATCACATGAAAACAGGCTTCTTTGATTCATTATGTAACAAGAAAAAAAAAAGGAATTTACTTAAATTTAAGTTATAATACAATACCCATTATTTGATAAGAATACTAAAACACTAATAAAGTTTTTTTATTAAAACCGCGAGAAATATTTTATTTACTAACTATAGGTAAATTTGTGAATTAAAGAAACGACATGGAAATTAAAAGGATTTGGCTAAATTTCGCGAGCAGATATTGCTTTTTGATAATATCGATTTAATAACAGACGATTTCTCCATCTACAAAACTTTAATCACGTGTATGGATTCCACAGTCCCATCGCCAACGGGAGGGCAAGATAGCCTTATTTCAATTCTATTTAGACTTCCATTTCACGTCTCACAACTCAGTGTCAGTATTCACTTATCGATATCCAAGAACCAAAATACCACTTTTTCTAATGAAATACGTACTTTACAAATGTTCTCGATTGACTTGCACGGTGAAGGAATAACATCGTGTAATCAAAATCAAACCAGCAAAATTATAATTTGCGTAATTACTGGTGGTAGGACTTCTTGTGAGTCCGCACGGGTAGGTGCCACCACCCCGTCTGTTTCTGCCGTGAAGCAGTAATGCGTTTCGGTTTGAAGGGTGGGCAGCCGTTGTAACTATACTGAGACCTTGAACTCATCTATCCGTCTAATGCAATAAATAAATATTGAGCATAGTTAGAGCGGTGTCTGTCTCCGTTGCATGAACACTGCCAAGCTGCTAAACGAATTGAATCAAGGAAGTAATGACAGCGTTTGCACGCAATCTTATCTACCCGCAACTATTTTAATTACACTGCCATTGAAGATCGAATGGCTTCAAGTTTTTGTACATTTAATTGTTCGCCCGTTGGTTTGGTGGTTAGTGATTCGACTTCTGGACCTTAAGGGATCGGGCTAGTTTCGTGTTCGAAGTCATTCATATAAGTGTTATTAATATGGGTTTCGGTGTATGTACTTGTGTGTGTGTTTCTGCTACCCATAAATCTTAGCTTGGGGCCATCGAATCAAAACACTTTAATCGTCAAATTAATCGTAAATGGAATAAAAGGCAAAGTACGTATCTTTATTGGTCTAAAATCACAGCGTTCATCAAGAAAATTGAGTACGCTCAGAGAGTAAATTGCCACGAGAATTAAATTCAAGATATAAAATTCCTAGTTTGTAAAGGTGCCAATTTATTGTCGTTTGAACCACAGATAAGAATAGTAAATTTATTAAACTATTCTAGTCTAGGAATTGTAATTAGAACTTTGTGAAAGTGTGTTAGGACGATTAGAATTCTACAATTAGCTAGTTTTTAGTTATTTTTATCGAATTAGATGGGAGTTATTATAGCCCATCTAATGTTAAGTATTACGGGAACCTAACGAAGTGTCAAAGTTAATAACGTCAAAGATCTTGAGACATGAGGTCTAAATCTCGATTATATTGGCGCAATGGCCGGGTTGCCTTCACGCTTTCGCTTAAATTCTTCATTACAAAAAATAAATATAGTTTGGGACAGACCTTGTAATTTACCGTCATCAATTCCGGACGTACAGTATAATTTCTTACTAAGTCTAACCATGGTCTTTGAACTACGATTTCAATTAAAAATGTAGAGTAAACGTTAAGTTCTATAGTTTTTCACTACACGATCTCGCTCTTGCGAAAACCCAGTATCCCAGTGGTAGACATACATAAATTTATGATACTCTGTGTAGATAACTTTTTTATCAACCAACACGTAGTATCAATTCACAAGTCAAGAATCAACGTCACGTACTTACATATTGTTCAGTTTAATATAAAAAAATATTGTTTTGTATTTGAAATTGATTGAATCCATTTAAGGTGAGACTTAAAAATGTAATACATGAACAAGCAAGTTTTAGTTATAATCTCGCTTTATATTGGAACACAATTAAAGTTGGTAAAATTTGTTTTGACATTTGGTAGCCAAACTCATATATTAAGTGTATAATCTATGGCCAAACTCAAGATTGGCGAGATATTTTCTATAGGTATTATATGATAGCTATATTCTATATAGTTATTACTCCTCTCTTCTTAATTCTCATAATCTTAAGTTTCTCATGCAGGTCTTCAGAAAATTTTGAAGGCAATGAACCATAGAGAATTGTATATTATGTACTTTGCTCTTGGACCATAGCAATGAATGACCTATCACAGTGTACAAATAAATACCTATTACAAACAATAATTTCATCTATGTACACTAATATTGAAATGAAATAACATTTAATTTGTTCGTTTGTTTGTAAGATTTAGATATCCTCTAGAAACGCTGTCTCGCATATAAACTCCATTTTTATCATTTCTCGGGCAGAATTTTTAATTCTGTAAATTTTTGAATGTACGAGTTTTTTTATTTTATTTCAACAGTACTTGAATTACCTACGTAAGGATAAAATGTATCTCATCATCTAAAATAAGTAATTATTCTCACTAAAATCTTATTAGATAAGGGTTTCTTTTTACTGTTGAATGACCCACCTGGCTTTAAGTGGTTTCCGGAAACTAAATATAGCTTAAGTGCATACACCCACCTTGAGACATGAGTTCCAAGTCTCAGTTTTATAGTAAAACGCCTACTCCGCCGTTTAAACCGAAACGCATTGTTTTACGGCAGAAATATCAGTGTGGTTGGTACCTGTGCGTATTCACAAGATGCCCTCCCGCCAATTAAGGGTCTAATTGTATCTATTATTACCTTTTATGTTTGCTACTGTCTTCATAGCCTTAACGTCGATTCTTTCTATTTTGCTCTGACCCATTAGACTTCCACATATGTACATATTTTAAAATAATCTAAGATAAACAAACATATTTGCATCTACTACAATATAGGAAATTCATAAGATTATCTTTTTAATATTTTAGATGACCATACGTTGGGGTATCGTAACCGCAGGAAAAATCAGCCATGATTTTGTCAACGCTTTCAACAGCTATCCTAACAAGGGGGATCAGGTTATAACCGCAGTGGCCGCTCGAACGAAGTCAGAAGAATTTGCAAAGCTACACAATATTCCCATAGTATTCGATTCCTATAAAGCCTTGGCTGAGAGTAATGAGATTGGTATGTTTGTAGGATTATGTATAAGACAGAAATTCATTTAGAATAATGTTTAAACAAGTACTAAAATCAACCGAAGCCTTTAATAATTTATTGCACGACTGGTCGAGTCTGCAAACTCTGCGATATCCATTTGTGCAAATAACAAAAAAACACTGTCCACATTCGAGCAGCATACATATAACTTTTGAGTCTTAGCTTTTTTTGGATAAAAATAACTTTTTTGGTAAATGAAAAAAAAAGATAGATAAAGTACGTCGGGAGCTTTGACCAGGTGACGCGCCGTTTCTATACGGGGATGGTTCGATCAATGGCCCTATACGGAACGCCCATGTGGGGCCAGTCTCTGGCCGTGGGGGTGGCGAAGCTGCTGCTACGGCCGCAACGCACCATCGCGGTCAGGGTCATCTGTGGTTATAGCACCATCTCCTTCGAGTCGGCCTGCTGGCTGGGACGCCACCTTGGGTCCTGGAGACAGAGGCGCTCGCCGCTGTCTATCGGTGGCGGGCTGATCTCGTGCCCGTGGGCGTGGCGCTTTCCAGCCTGTGTGGTCAGAGCGCAGAGGGCCCAATCTCGGCGGTCCGTGCTGGAGTCATGGTCCAAGCGGCTGGCCGATCCTTCGGATGGTCGTAGCACCGTCGAAGTGATTCGATTCACAGAGGATCACTTTCCGGCTCACGCAGGTGCTCACTGGGCATGGTTGCTTCGATGAGTGCTTGCACCGGATCGGAGTCGAGCCGACTGCAGAGTGCCACTATTGTGATTGTGAGTTGGACACGGCGGAGCACACGTTCGTCATCTGCCCAGCATAGGAGGGGTGACGCCGTGACGTCATCGCAAAAATAGGGAAAGACTTGTCGTTGCAGTGTTGTGGCATCGATGCTCGGCGGCGGCGAATCGTAGAAGGCGATGCTCGACTTCTTCGACTGCACCTTTTTTTCTTTTTTTTTTTTTTTTCCTACCTAATCTGAGAGCCTTGAGAGGCTATTTCAGCGTAACCCTAACGTTTGTAGGTGAGCTCACGGGGCTCAAACCTGACGACGATGCTAACACGAACCCTAGCAAGAGCTGTGCTTCGCAGAATCTACCACCGGATCGGAAACGCGACCCACTGAGAAGATCCGGCGAGAAACTCAGTGGGCTGTGTTTGGGAGTTAATTTACTCGTCGAGCCCTTCGTCGCAAGCGACGGGTTCGACGAGAACGGTGACCGGTGCTTGAAGTACCTAGAAGCACCGTTAGTGGATCGGGAGGATCCGAGATGACGTGTTTTGGGCGACGTCGACTGCTTTCCATTCTGTCCGCAGGATCGGGAATGTAGTTACCGGCGGCCACGATGAGAGGGTTCTCGTGTCGTGCCGCTTTATCGAAGTGGCGCAT